AAGATAACTTTCAATCTTCGGACTGACTATAATAAAGTTTCTACTATGACATTATATTAATAAAAAAAAAAAAAAAAAAAAATTTTATCAAGATTAACCTGGTAGTTATAGAGTAAACATCATTTAAAGTTTTAAAAAAAATACTGAAAATCTTTGAAAAAATAATATCATGATTATAGTTTTTAAAATTTAAATAAAAGTTTCTCAATAACTACAAAATCAAATTCAATAAAAATTTTTTATTTTAATTCTACAGATCTGAAGAATTAAAATAAAAAAAAATTTAATGAATTTGAATAAGTAGTTGTTAAAAAATATTGATTAAAATTAAAAAAAAAAATGGCTGCAGCTTCTTTTTTATAGATACAAAACTTTGAATAAAGATTACTCTATACATACCTGGTCAAATTTGATCATAATTTTTTTTATTCTAATTATATATTATAGAATCAAATAAAAAAATTTTGATCAAATTTGATTGGTGTGTATAGAGTAATCTTCATTCAAAGCTTTGATATCTATAAAAAAGAAGCTGCAGCCATTTTTTTTTTAATTTTTAATCAATATTTCTTAACAACTACTTATTTTAATTCATTAATTTTTTTTTTATTTTAATTCTTTATATCTGTAGAATTAAAAATAAAATTCATCGAATTTAAATAGGTAGTTGTTAAGAAATATTAATTGAAAGTTAAAAAAAAAATTGGCTACAGCTTCTTTTTATAGATACAAAACTTTGACTGAAGATTACTTTATACATATAGGGGTGAGTCAATAGAAATCAAGCAAATTTTTTATAATAAAAATTTTTTATAACTTTAAACAAGAATAACTTAACGAAACCTTGACTAAATTTAATAAAAATTTTTTTAAATAATTTTTACAAACTTGTAGAATTAATTTAAAAAAAATTTATTAAATTTGATCAAGTTTTTGTTAAGTTATTCTTGTTTAAAGTTTCTAAAAAACTTATTAAAAAAAAATTTGCTTGGTTTCTATTGACTCAACCTTATATAAAGAAAGAAAACCTATAATATCTCAAGAACTACTAGGCCAATTTTGATGTTCTTGCCACCATTGAAACTGCAAAAATAAGCTCTACAACTTTTGTTAAAACTTGAAAAAAGGTTAACTTAGAAAAAAATGACTTTATTTTAAGCTAATACCAAATTTTAAGTATAGTAATAGATATCTAAATTTATATAATGATCTGCATTAAGCATATTGTTTATTTGTTTACATTTTTTGTTTATATTTTTTAACCAATTAAAACAAATGTCCACCATGCTGCTAAAGACTATAATTAGAGATCCAAACTATAACCCGAGTAACCGTAAACCCGATGACCCAATCTGTAAAATTTACCAACCAGATTATTTTTTTAATAAACAGGTAACCTGTTTTACATCGGGTAAATGGGTGACCCATTTTACAACAGGTAATACTATAATAAGCGAATGTCCCATTTTACAATGGATGACCCGGTTGGTAATTAGATAATCGATCAACTCGATTTATATTACCAATCGGTTTAAAAAATAAAGTTTTAGATGGTTAATTTTTTGTTATACAGTATAAAAATTTTACTTTGGTTTTTTAAAAAAAAACTATTTGATAGTAAATATGTCATATTTTCCTTAAAATTAGTAAAATTGGCCCGGCCAGATTATGCGAACCAAAAAATTAAAAAAAAAATTGATACGCTTTTTTTCCAATATAAAAACCCTTAATTTTTAAGTGTTTTTTTTAATTTTTGGAAAACACTATTGTTACAGCTTTTATAAAAATTACACGAACTGAACAAAACATCTTCACTTGCAACATTAATCGGGTTTCATTCTGAATATTGTAATAAACATAGTTATGCTTTGGTCATCATCCACCAGTAGCTTAAAAAAAAAAAAGCTATCTATAGTTTGTTGAACACTATACACTGTATTAAGCATATCACAATAGAGCAGATAAAATTTCAAAATCATGGTGCATGCAAAAAAATTAAGCACTATGCAATTAATACTTGTTATTTAATAGATATTAGTGGATATGGTATATTCTACAGAATAATAGTAAAATCACGTGGCCTTTGGCCACGTGGTTTACTATTATTCTGTAGAGTATACCATGTCCACTGATATTCATTAAATAACTAGTTTATTCTATGGGTACAACATAACAACCTGTGCAACCTCTTTAACCTTGATAAATGAATCAAAAGATTTCATGACGTAATGATAATTATTTAAATAAATTTTTTTATCATTTATACTCTTCTGTCATTATTGTTCATTAACTACAAAAAATTTTTGATCTATTATTTCATACCAGCAAAAAATTTAAGATCTTTCACTTTAACCAAGAATCCTAAACCTTTCACTTAGAATAGCAAGAGAATTTTAAAGCCTTTCTAAATAGTACTAGTGTGTTCAACTGAGTAATTTGCTCTAAATAATATGTCAACCAAAAAAATACTATCATAACAACCAACAGAATTTTAAAAACCTATCGTTAATGGTACAATTGCATCACTCATGAGAATTTTAGTCAGCAAAAAGAATTTTAAGACTTTTGTGAAATGTATTTATTCAGCATAAAACCTTTTCAAAATCTTTCGCTTGTCTCAATATTCAAAAAAAAAAAAACTATTGTAAAAACCTTTTGTCCGCAAAAATATGTATAATTACATTAACCAAAATAATTTTAAAAACTAATGTACTATCACACCAACCAAGAGAATTTTAAATATTTCTATTCTAAATAGTACTATTGTACTAGCTACAAATAGTATTATAGTATTGGCTGAAAGAATTTAACTCTTTTGCCCCCAAATAGAACTATTGCACAAAGAAAAAATTCACTCTAAAGCAATATTATGACAATTAATAAGAATTTAAAATATTTCGTTTAAGCATTTGAAAAAAAAATAACAAATAAAAATGGTACTTTCGCCGATATAACTATAAAACCAGATATTAAATTTTTTTGGATATTAAATTATTTTGATAACATACTATAACTTAAAAAAATTATCACTGGTCTATATAAAAATCATGTGATTTTCATATAGACCGGTGAAAATAACCTAGGAAAAAAAGCACGGGTTGTTACATAGTTCCCATGGAATAAATATTATAAAACTAATAGGTGTATCTGTTATAATGAGCATTTCAACTTCAACATCCGATTATGTAAAAGATGATATATATTCTGTAGATATATATGATGAACTACTTAGACCTGATACTTATAAAACAAAAAAATAAAAAAAACATGACAATCGTAGTATTGTGTGGAATCACTTTAAAGTTGAGACAACAGAAAAAGGCATTTTTGATATTTGTCAAATCTGTAAAGAAAAAAACATTGATGTTAGGTATGTGCATAACTCTTCTATGGAAAATATGCTTGGCCATCGTTGGTCTAAGCACCAGATAGATAAAGACCACCCTGAAGAAGTAAACAGTAATGGCTTGATTGAAAAAGCTATACATGTCATTAGTAAATGAAGGCAATCAGTTTGGTAAGTGTCGAGATATCTTTAAAAAGACAAAATAGTATAGCTATTGGTCGAATTTATTATTAAAGATTGCCAACCTCTTTATATTTTATGTAGCCAAGCTTTTCGTCAGCTATTAAATTATATAAAAGCAGGCTTTTATATTCCTTGTGAGCAGACTGCGAAAAAAATAATAGACAAAGCTTATGATTGGAGTTGGGATCAACTATTTGATATAATGAATACTAATGATGAATTTGTTAATTTAATGATGAATATATGGAGTTCAAAAACAAATCAAAGATACATTGGAGTGATGGCAACATGGATCGATTCAGCCTTTAAATTAAAGGAGACTTTATTAACAATACAATTGCTTTTTTCACCACACATAGCTGAAGCTATTGCAAACTCTCTTAATCAAGTTATCACTGATTGGGAACTCACAGATCAAATTTTTTGCATTATAACCAACAATGGAGCTAATGTTAAAAAGATGACTGGTTTAATGAACAATGTTATATGATTATCTTGCTCTACTTATATGCTTCAACTAAGCATGCTAAAAGGTCTTAAACCTGCAATTCAATTAATTAAAAGAGCAAAGAATTTAATTCTTTTTTTTCTTAAAGTCCTAAACAATCTGAACGACTTAAAGATATGCAAGAACAATGTAGATATTCAAAAATTTACCAACCAATTAACAATGTACCAATGAGGTGAAATTCTTCGTATTTAGCTTGGGTTTGGCTTAGGAAGTTATAAAAGGCGATCAATTACCTTGTTTTGATATTGCCTTTAGAATCAGAATGGTGTAATAGACTTGATGGTGAGTACTTGAAATTAATCAATCTAACCGAAAATGAATAGCAATTATTAAACGGTCTTATCTTATTATTGAAACCATTTTATGAGGCTACCAATATATTTTCTGGTTCAAGCTATCCTACTCTTAACTTCATTTATCCAACAATAAGATTGCTTATTGGGAAATTCGTACCTTTTCCTAAACAAACCGAAGAAGATTATGCTGAATTATTATTTAAGCCTATCGGGTATATTATAAAGTTTTTCTTGCCATTAAATATTACTTTTTAGAAATAGCGCTATCTATAGTTGCTGTCCAAATAGTTATAACTATTAGTCCATATTGGATATATTTAAAATTTTCTCTCAAATTCCAATTCATACAGTAAGTTTGGGGCAAGTTCCACGGCTTTAACTAGTCCCAAATAGTAGTTAATACCTTAGAAAGTCCCAAAGCCCTGAACTAATTAGGTTTGGATAGCAACTATAGTGCTACTAGACTTCAGAATTTTAAATTTATTAATATTGGAAAACTAAAATTCTGAAATCTGATTTAGTTTTTATTTTTAGTTCAAGTCAACCAACCAATGATGAAGATCATGATAAACTTGATATAAAAGATGAATTCGATACACTAATAATTTCAGAGCAACTCTGTCAACCATTAAAAGTATTACAAAGACGAATAAAGAAACAAAATCAAAAAAAATACGTATCTCAATAATAACTCGCGATTTAAAGGCCATTGATTAATAGAGCCCTCTGTTACTACCAAAGATCTATGTGATTTAGTTAAAGCTGCAAGCTATCTTTCTCTTCAAGAATATTGAGAAACTCCTGAAGAAATTGGGCTTGTAGCATCATTCTTGGACTCAAGAATTAAGCATTTGAAGTTTCTTAGTGATGAATCAATGAAGAAAATTATAATTAATAGGGTGCGAACACTTTGCGATTAAGAAAATTGCCACTAGCCCTCAGTTGAACTTGACAAGTCACCTACTATGTTAACTCTTAAACCTGCAACAACTAATAACTTGATTGCGGCTTTATATAATAGCGAAGAACCTAACAATGAAGTTCTTAATAAAACTGAAGTTCACTATTATCTTCGTGAACCTTTTAAGAAAATAGGCTATAATCCACTAGTATGGTAGAAAGATAGATCTAGAAAGTATCCTGTATTATTAAATCTAGCTCAAAAATATTTGGCAGTACTAGCAATATCGGTTCCCTCAGAGCGATTATTTTCAGATACAGGATTACACATTATGGCATTATATAACAGGCTTCATCCAGATATGGTTAAGCAAATGATGTTCTTTAAACATAATATACATTTTTCTATTTTCAAACCGGATGAATTATAAATCAATAGTTACTCTCACTATATATATCAAAAAAGAAAAAAAATAATAATACTTATAATAGTGTGTAGCAGTGTTGCTCAAATATACTGTACTTAGTTGGGTAATGAAGTTGAAAGGTTTGATGATGTTGTATATAGAAAGAAAAAGCTACTTCTATATAGAATATTGGATAGAATAGTAGAATTAGATAGCAAAATTTATAGGAATGCCATCATTTTGTAACTGTCAATCATAAAATAATAAATAAGAATTGAAGTAATCGAATATAAATTGGCAGACTTTTTTATACTATATTAATGTATATTGCGCATTGATAAAAAAACTAATATGGACTACTCAGGTTCGGGTAACCAAATAACCCAAATTATATACGGGTAATCGGGTAATCAGGTCACCTAGATTACATATGGGTAATCGGGTTACCCGGATTATATATGAGTAACCGGGTCACCTGAATTAGATATGAGTAACCGGGTCACCTAAATTATATATGGGTATCGGGTCATCCAAATTAAATAGGGTAACTAGGTTACCTGGTTTTAATTTGAATACCTGGTTGGTTGCTAGTCTTAACCCGACAGGTCACAGGTCTAAAATTTCAAACCGGTTTGGAACCCTAACTATAATATAAAAAATATTTAATAATAATCTAATTTTATAATTATAAATATTATATTTTAATTCTTACAATTAGTGATGCTTTTGAACGTAAAAGACTACCAAGTGCTTTATAATGGCTGTTCTAGCAAGTTTCATTTAGGCGAATTAATGCAATATAATATTTGTATGCCATTCTTTGTTTATCTCTTAATTTACCAATAAAATAAGAGTTATTAGAATTATTAAAATAATTTGTTATTTCAATAACTTTTTTAATTGCATTATTAAATCAAGTATTTTCTTTAAAGATTTCTCTTACAACTAAATTAAATTGATGAGCAAAACAAGGGAGGAAAATAATTTCATGATGAGATCTACACATACGGCATCTAATATATATATTATTAGTTATTAATTTATAATTAATACAATAATAATATATATAATACCTTGTAGCTGCATAAGCGGGTGCAGAGTCAGAAATTATTGTAGCAACTTTAATTTGTTAATCTTTTAAATCTTCAAGTAATTTTTCAACCTTGAATATTATATTAATAGTTCACTTAAGCTTTATACTAATATCTTCAACATTTCAGACTAATACTTCTTCAGAAGACATGATAAGTACTATTCCAAATATATTTTGCTTTAAAATGTTTTTTCAACCATCAAATGCTAGTGATACTCCAATATTATCATTAATTGCTTTTGATACTAATTCTAAATGAAGTTCTTGTGTAGTATTTTTTAGTACACGATCTCCAAGAGTATGATGACTTGGTATTACAAGATTTGGATTTTTATATTTAAGCATAGCAATTGATGATTTTTTTTCTACCCAATTAAATGCCTATCCATTTTCAATTATTGCACTTAAAATAATTTTTTCGTAATAAAATTTATCAACTAAACTATATTCTTGTGCAAAAAATGGTTGCATTGATTGTTGATTTGTATCTATAATTTAAAAAAAAAAATTAGTTATTTTAAAAATTATAAATTTTATTACTGTATTTAAAAACAAATATTATCTTGTAAATCAGATTTAGAAGCAGAAGGTAAACTATTTGATACTGCTGATTTAGAAGCCATTTTTTTTTTTGGTTTAGTTATTTGCATTAATTTTTCATATTTGTTTTTGGTAATAGCTACTTTAAAGTTTATACAATTTTGAAAATGTGATCTAAGTCTGTCTTTTTTGTTAACACACTGAGTATTTTCTATAGCATATGCTTCACCATGTTTTAGTTTACACTATTTACAAATTGCAAATACTGTTTTTGAGTTTGGAACTCGAATAACATTAATATGAGGAGTAAAAGAATGTCTAGCTTTTCCACCAGTATGACTTTTCATTTTTTTTCACTCATTTGGTACAATTACTTTTATAAATGAACCAAAATTTTATCAAATTCATGCTTACTAATCTATACATACTAATTATATAATCTATCTGCTATGTAACAGCAATTGTAATACTTGTGTAATATAAATTTAATTTATCTGACATTTCATATAATTATGTGAATTTTTTTGCCATGATATTTTTTGCATAATCAGTTTTGCAAAACATCACAGAAAAAACTTTACATGGTCATATTAACTATCAGATAACATCATTATTGAATATACGTATGACAAATAACAGTAAATTGTTTTTTTTTATTAGAGTTAATTTTACTCATGTGCTGTGTAGCAGCACATGAAGTGACATTAATTCTGACAAAAAAAACAATTTGCTGTTATTTTTTGTCATCTGTTCAATAATGTACACATATAGCGATTAGACAAATAAACAATAGACAAATTTAGACAATAGACAAATTAGACATATTGTTTAATCTAAATAGACATTGTCTAATTGCAACTAAATTACAATACTATTAGACTATTAGACATTAGACAAACAAGTTATTAGACAATTAGACAATAATATTTTTGATTAGACATTGTCTATTCACATCTCTGCTTAATGGATTCTAAAAATTATGAATTCAGATTCGGTATATTGAATTCAGATCTATATAAAGAACCAACCTACCATATGTAATGGATTGTTGGATCTAGTCTGGATCTGAATCTGTATATTTAAATACTAATTCAAATCTATACTTGGACTCAATTCGAATCTTTAAAAGTATCATATTAATTGGCATAAAAAACTAAAGACTTATACTTCCGTATTTGATGTTTTGTAATTGTCGTAGTTGACTTTAGTACCCCGGGTATTCGTTAGAGATCATGGTTGGGATTTGCATAAATGGTATGATTCAAGGTTATATGAAATTAATTAAAAGTTAAAATAGTGATTGCATGAACAATGTAATAATAGCAATTATATAAGTGATAAGAAAGTATGTAATAATCAGTAACACAAAATAGTGATTAGTAATTAATATAAGGTATCAATCCTGAAAGAAAAAGTACCAAGCTTTTAAACTTTGTAAGCTTTGAGAATTGAGTTCACTTAGTAAAAAACAATTTTAGTAAATAAACTATATTACCTGTGTGATTATATTATTATTGGTGAAAGAACCTATATAATACACAATTATCAAACAAATTAGCTAAGCAAGCAAAACTGATAGTGAAGACCAAAAAGTACATGTAGTTCAAGATAAGCCATGACAATAATGGTAATTTCTATTATGGTTTACTGTAAAAATTTTATTACAGAATTCATTAGCTATAATAACACATTATATAATTTTTACTAATTATTTTTTCATATAAAAATAATTTACAACTTATATTCTTAATTTATTATTAATTTATTTTAACAGTAAAAAATAAGTTTCATGGTGGCTATGAGAGTAAATCAGATTATCCTCCAAGACATATAAAAGGTCAGTTTGTATTGGTGGTTTCTATTGTAGGTTGCTGTAAAAAAATTTTTTTTTAAATAAAGAAATCTTTTCTACTATCTGAACCACTTTATGCAAAAATATTTAACAATTGAACTTACTAAATAACTCATAGCCAAAGATTAAAATCTGCTCTAAGTGAAGATGAACTTATAGGTAAATTCTTGTTTACATTGTTAAGAATGTGTTTTTACAAAGTGTATTAGCTAATGCTTTTCCTGCTTCAGATCCAAGTTTATTCTTCTCGAAATTTAACGTTGTTAAGAATATGTTTTTGCAAAGTGCTTTTGTTAGCTCATTTATTTTTTCTGAACCAGAACATCTATTGATCTTCAGAACTATGATGGTTAAATTTCTTCAAAAAGTTCTAATTAGAGGTGGAAACATTCCTTAGATCAAGAGTAATTACCTTCTTACATCATATAAAATTTAGGTAACTACTTAGATATGGCTATGCCGTATGTTATTTTATGTTCTAATGTCCCCACCTTTAGTTCTAATGCTTTGAGAAATTTGCATTGCTTAAAACATTCATATGTCTTCCTTTTTCAAATCCTCAAGAGTGCTATTGTCCTGCACTAAAGTATTAAAATTTATTATATCAGGTAAATTAAAAGATGATTAAACTAAATTCTCAAATGCAATTGTATTACCTTGACGATTTTGGGAAATCTCAGATAATGTTTCAATAGGAAGATGTTGACTTAAAGTTTCATCAAGAACAAATCAGTTTAAAGTATTCATAATTAATTTTGCTTCTAGGAAATTTGCAGAATCATTATTCCAATATTTTTTATAAAAATCTATATATTGAGATAGTGTACTTTTTATAGATTCTTCTCTATTCCCTTAAAAGACGTGAACAACAATCATTTCGTTTGTAAGATATTGGAATGGTGGCTTTCTACTCGAAATTTTCCAAAGGATTACTCTAGTGCTATAGATATCTGACTTCCTGTCACATTTGTATTTGTGATTAACAAGAAGTTTAGGTTCGATATATGCTGCTGGCATCTTATAAACAATTGAGTTTGAAGTTATAAACATCTTATTTATTATCTTTATCATCTTTGATAATCCAAAACCTGCAATCTTTAATTTTCTTTGATAAATTAAGACATTTTTTGAATGCAAATTATAAATTAAAATTATAAATTAATTAAAATTATTAAGTTACAAATTAAAGTTATAAATAAAAAATAATACATACAAAATTTTTGTAAATAATATCATTATGTAAGAATAAAAGTCCGCAAGCCATTTCTTTAACAATACGTTGCTTATCTATCTATTGTAATCTTGTAAAATTTGTTTTTAGGTAATTTCGTAAAGTTCCTTCATTAGCATATTGCAAAATTATATTATAATATCCATTGCTATCTATTTGTTAATATTAGATAAATGTAATTTTATTTAAATAATTATTAATTAATATCTTTAAATTTTATAAACTGCTTAGTATTTATCTTTTGTAGCTTTATAGAAAGTTATAAATGTTTGGATACTAACAAACATTTCATAATTAGATCCGAAGCAGGAAAAGTATTAGCTAAAGTACTTTGTAAGAACTCATCTTTAACAATATTAAATCTCGAAGATGATAATCTTGAATCTGAAGCAGAAAAAGCATTAGCTGATGTACTTTAAATTCATTTAAGATCCTACAGATCATTGTAATAACATGTATATTGTTGAGTTGCAAGTTAATTTGTATCATGATTTACTAAAAAAAATCTAGTTACTGACCTACTTACTATTCATAATACACTATATATGATTAAAGTAGTGTCTGTTTGTAATTTTCATTGAGACAAATTATTGCGACAATATATAGTATTTTGCTAAATCAATTTGCATTGGAATTATCATAAAAAATTCTGTCCCAGAACCTACATACTACTGCGATAACACACGGTATGTTGTGGAATTATCATGGTTTCTATTGCAAGTTGCTGCAAAAAATTCCACTACAGAACATGTGCTAAGTTAAGTTAATTTGTATCTAATTTACTAAAAAATTCTGTTACAAAGCCTATACACTATTGTAATGAAGACTTAGCTGTATTTGAATTATTAATTCTATCGTGATTTGCAAGAAAAATTCAGTTGCAAAACTTACTCACGATTTACTGAATTGAAAACACCTGGTAATCTCTAAAAATGATACCAGTAAATGACAAAACCAATGAATGATGACACTACACGCGATGATGTTAAGGAACAATATCAAATCACTAAAAAAGCAACTCTACAAAATATGGATAATTAGTGTAATATAGTACATAATAAGAAAAAAAATAAATTATATAAAAAAAAAAAAAAAGTAAATCGATTCTTTACAAATCAGGTTAATTTATAAACACTCTAACATTATAAACTTTAAATTGTAATTCAAATAGTGAAAATTTTCCAATAAAAGTATAAAGTTAGTATATTATAGTTAAGTTATTTTGTATTAAGTCACTATAAAAAATTTTGCTAGAGCTTTATCTACTATTCCAGTAATACAGAATATGTGGTTAAATTGGTTTGGTTTATATTGAAATTATCATGTTTTAATACTCTAGCAAATATAGTTAAGTTAGTGCATTAGAAATTTTCATAGTAGTTAAATTAGTCTGCAGAAAACTCAAAAACTTATTGCCTAATCTTTGCCCTCCTTTAATACTTCACTCTTGATATTTGCATAATAACTTTTCTTTACTCAACCACTTCTTAAAATTAACATAAGTCCAACTTTTTTTAATTGGCCTTTTTTTCCTAAGAATTAAGAGATGAAATCCAAAAAAAAAAAGACAATAGTCCTGTGATTTCTATTGTTAGTTACTAAAAAAAATTCTATTATAAACCTTATTTGCTATAGTATATAGCTAACTTCTTTAAGCTTTGATACATAATAATAAAAGCATTAGCATTATAACCATTAAAATTAAAATCAGCAAAACAGTATTATAAATTAAGAACAGAATATTTATCTTTAATATATAATATGCATCAAATCATTCCATTCATGGTATTATTTGAAACTTTGAAAAATAAGAATATAAGTACTTACTATTATATATTTTTCAATCATTTTATTGATCATTGGTTTGTAAGTCTAAAAGCTATATTCTGTTGCTATTTCAAAACTCACAATATGTATAAATTGGTTACTCAAGTAATTGGTCTATGACACAAACGCATAAAATCTGCACTAAAGATGCAAAAATAAATACATGTGTCTACAATAAGAAAAAAGATGATTAGATAAAGCCAATTAAAATCTTGGGATTTATGAGTACACAATTTAATTGAGGAATTTATATGGGTAATCTAAACATTATCATTATACACAAATTTTTTTAGTATATAGTTATATATATATAGAAGAAGTTTTTATATTACATACAAATTTTTTTATTCTATAGTTATAGATTATAACACTTAATACAAGGCCAAGCTATTTAATAAGTATATTAGACTAAAAGCCGGCTATTCTTTAAAGATATC